GGTCAGAACGGATAAAAAGAAATACTTCTTCACCCAAAGAGTGATGAACACATGGAATTCACTGCCACAGGAGGTGGCGGCAGCTATAAGCACGGACAGCTTGAAGAGGGAATCGGATAAGCATATGAAGCAGAGGTCCATCAGTGGCTCTTAGCCACAAGGTATAGACAGGAACTCTCCGTTTGGGGCAAGGGATGCTCTGTATTCTTGGTGCTTCGAGGGGGGGGGGACAGTGGGAGGGCTTCTAATGTCCTGGCTCCACTGCTGGACCTCCTGATGGCACCTGGTATTTCTGGCCACCGTGTGACTCAGAGTGTTGGGACTGGATGGGCCACTGGCCTGATCCAGTATTGGCTTCTCTTATGTTCTCTTATGTTCTTAAACCCTGACGATTGGGAGAGGGTCATAGGTTTGGCAGGACCCAACCTTGGGGGAGGGGATGTAGCTCAGTTAATTGCCGGCAGCTGCAAGGTTCTGTTATCTGAAGGGAGTGGCAGCAGTCGACAAAAGAGCTTCCTTTCCCTCCCTCTGGCTCTGGCTAGCGCACTGCTGTTTGCTTTGCAGGAGGGACCACAGTATCTATGGCGCTGAGGTGATAAGCCGCCTCCGAAGATGGAATTGATTCCTGTTCTACTGTGACTTTGCTACAGAGCTTGTTATGAGGGCTCACCATGTAAGGCGCTGCGGCTTCCCTTTTAAGAACCGCTAGCCTACCCTGGCAACTGAATGTTTTTATTGCCGACTTCTCAGACGCTGGATGATTTCTGCTCTGCACACATCCTGTGAGTTTAAAGGTTTTTCACTCAATGAAATGAAATAGTGTTTCAAAAAACATTTTGGCTGCGTGCTGAGACTTTTTTTCTGCTGTTGATCTGTTAGTTTACCTGCTGGAGCGTACCCCCAAGGTCAGTTGGACCTGATACAAGGTCACCCAGCTGGCTTCATGTGGAGGAAGAGTGGGGAATCAAACCCAGTTGTCCAGAATGGAATAAGAACACAAGAGAAGCCAATGCTGGATCAGGCCAATGGCCCAATCAGTCCAACACCCTGTGTCACACAGTGGCCAGAAATACCAGGTGCCATCAGGAGGTCCAGCAGTGGGGCCAGGACACTAGAAGCCCCCCCCCACTGTTGCCCCCCCCAAGCACCAAGAATACAGAGCATCCCTTGCCCCAGACCGAGAGTTCCTATCTATACCTTGTGGCTAATAGCCACAGATGGACCTTTGCTCCATATGCTTATCCAATTCCCTCTTATAAGAACATAAGAGAAGCCAATGCTGGATCAGGCCAATGGCCCATCCAGTCCAGCACTCTGTGTCACACAGTGGCCAGAAATACCAGGTGCCATCAGGAGGCCCAGCAGTGGGGCCAGGACACTAGAAGCCCCCCCACACTGTTGCCCCCCCCAAGCACCAAGAATACAGAGCATCCCTTGCCTCATACAGAGAGTTCCTATCTATACCTTGTGGCTAACAGCCACTGATGGACCTCTGCTGCATATAAGAACATACATAAGAAGAGAAGCCAATGCTGGATCAGGCCAATGGCCCATCCAGTCCAACACTCTGTGTCACACAATGGCCAGAAATACCAGGGGCCATCAGGAGGTCCACCAGTGGGGCCAGGACACCAGAAGCCCCCCCCCTTGCCCCCCCCAAGCACCAAGACTACAGAGCATCCCTTGCCCCAGACCGAGAGTCCCTATCTATACCTCGTGGCTAACAGCCTCCGATGAACCTCTATGTTTATCCATAAGAACATAAGAGAAGCCAATGTTGGATCAGGCCAGTGGCCCATCCTGTGGAACACTCTGTGTCACCCAGTGGCCAAAAACACCAGGTGCCCTCAGGAGGTCCAGCAGTGGGGCCAGGACACTTGGTTGCCTCCACCCCCAGGCACCAAGACTACAGAGCATCCCTTGCCCCAGACCGAGAGTTCTTACTCCTCCGCCATTCTTAACCACCACACCACACCACAGACCACGTGGCCCCTAAATGTCCAGAGGCTTAGCGATTGACGGCAAAGAGCAACTGCTGTGGCAAGGAGGACTGGCTCTCCCTGTGAGTCCACGAGGGCCACGTGGCCCCGGGCTCCACGCTGCCTTTAGCCATCTCCAGTGGCTGGAATGTGAGAAGGGGCACTGGGCTTTGTGGTGCATAAAGCTAAGAGGGGGAAAATGAAAGCCCAACCGCTTTGCCCGAAGCTCTCCAAAACGCTCACCTCCCGGACACTCGGTTCACCGTGTCTTTAATCTGAATCTGGATGATGGCGTGCGAGCGAGACGAATCCGAATTTACGCCGGTGGCCCCCGTG